GTCTAGTACCTGTGGGTGTGGGGAACCAGGAATGTGGGCACAGGCCTCTAACTACAGGTCCAGGGACCTTACCTGTCCCAACCTGTGCAGCATGGCAATGGAGCATGGGGAGAGGTGGAGCTGGGGAGAGGAGCTAATACCCAATGCCCCCTCCCAAGGGCCACCACCTTACCCTTTTCCCCGAGCAGTTACCTCTGCCAAGGCCTGAGCCTCCTGCAACAGATCCTCTTCTGCCAGTTCTGCAGTTGTCTTCTTCAGTGGGGCCCGCAGGCCCAGGCCTGGGGCAGAGGATGTGAGGGCAGGAACCCCCCCCCAAGCACAAAGCACCCACCTCCCATGGGAGGGTTTGGGAAGGGAGAAAGAGGGTTTTATGCCAGGGGAGACAATTTGTGGCCAGAGGGTATTCAGGCCCCGCCCAGTCCCACCCTTGCTCACACTGACCTGGGAGCTCTGGGAACAGGGCCTGGTCAGGCCTTCTGATGCCCTCCAGGGGGGCCAACCCCATCTGGGCTCCTTGCGTGGCAGGCAGTGCCAGCAGCAGGGCACAGCTCAGCAGTGCTGCAGTCAGCATGGCCTGGCTCAGCAGGAAGACGCACCACTTAGTCCCTCCTAATCCTTGGAGTCCCCTCTAGATGCCCAGATAGAGACCCCACAGAGAGGAGGAGTCCCTGCCCAACCTGAGAACTCACCTCTGCCTCCGGGATTCTTGCCTAGAGAGTTCCTGGCCACCCCGTGCCCTCGGCTTATATGGCAGGGCCTAATAAAGGGCCACACGTGACTGATCCCTGCAGCCAGGCTGTGAAGGGCCCTTCCTGGAGGGTGGGGGCACAGTTCAGACCCTCACTCCCTGAACCTGAGCCTTTTGTTCTCTAAGAGGGGTGCCTATCTCCAATTTGGGGTGAGGTTTCCAGGAGCCAATTACAATTTGGGAGCCAGAGAGGGTGCCCAGGGTCCCCAAATGTCCATGGGACAGGGACCTAGGAGCCGAGCAAGGCCGGAGCCATTAGCAGTAACAAGGCAGGCGGCCCTGAAAGCTTAATTTAATTTGTGGCCCCAGAGATGCTTACTCAACTCCTATGTGGCATGTTGTTTCCTGTGCTTCTAAGAATTCAGATCAAGGACATTGGAGAGGGTGATGGGCCAATGGCCACTGTTGGGCAGGGGTAGGTGCAGAACTAGACCCTGGGTTTCTTTGGAGGGAATGGGGAGGGAAAAACCCACCTAACCAATCCCAGGCCCTCCTGACTGCATTTCTGGTCCTCCCCTCCCTTTCTCCCTCCAGGTCTTTCCAAGACCCCCACTCCTGCTCCTGTCCCCAAACCCCTTTCCGCCTGGGGTTCCTGGAAGCCAAGGAAACAGAACGAACTGTTCCCTGGGTGGGTGAGCCACTGCAGAGTACAAAGCTTTCAGGCCGCCTGCCTCATTAGCGTTAATGGCTGCTCCCTTCCGCCCTGCGTTGTCAGTACTATCTATGCCTGGTCTCATCAGCACAAGGCTGGGGTGAGGACTGCCCTTTTGTGGAGATGGCAGGACATACAGGACCCCACTGCCCCTGCCTTCCCTCACCCCACTGCAGGGCTGTTTATCACACACGTGTCCATCTGGGAAAGGAATGCAGGCTGAATCAGCTTTGAGAGGATCACAAGGCCCCAGTGCACAAACTGGGTTGGCACAAAGCAATGGAAAAAAGATGAAGGGGGCCAGGTATGGTGGCTCACACCCCTAATTCCAGCATTTTGAGAGGCCAAGATGGGAGGATCACAAGGTCAGGGGTTTAAGAGCAGCCTGGGTATCATAGCGAGACCCCATTGCTACAAAAAATTAAAAAATAGCTGGGTATAGTGGTGCATGCCTGTAGTAGAGGCTGAGGTGGGAGGATGACTTGAGCACAGGGGTTCAAGGTTGCAGTTAGCTATGATTGCATCACCGCACTCCAGCCTGAGCGACAGAGCAAGATCCTGTCTCAAAAAGAAAAGAAGATAAAGGGTGGCCAGGCATGGTGGCTCATGTCTGTAATCCCAGCACTTTGGGAGGCCAAGGTGGGTGGATCACTGGAGGTCAAGAGGTCAAGACCAGTCTGGCCAATATGGTGAAACCCTATCTCTGCTACAAATACAAAAATTATTCAGGCATGATGGCACATGCCTGTAATCCCAGCTACACGGGAGGCTGAGGCATGAGAATCACTTGTAACACAGGAGGCAGAGACTGCAGTGAGCAGGGACTGCACCACTGCACTCCAACCTGGGCGACTGAGCAAGACTCCGTCTCAAAAAAAAAAAAAGAAAAAAGAAAAAAAAATGCTATTTAAAATGAAATGAAGCAATCCATACTCCCAACATTTGTATACACTGGGACAGCCAAGAAATTAAAATCATACCTCATTATGTCTTTTTTTTTGAGACAGGGTCTCACTCTGTCACCCAGGCTGGGCCTGGTCAGCACCCATGCTATGGAGAGCTCTTCATGGTCTGGTGCAGGCAGGGTGGGAGTGGGAGAAGTCTTCCCACCCAGGTGCTCAGTGTCTTACCTCACCTACGAGCAGTGGCTGTCTTCACCTGAGTATGTGCACACAGGTGTATCAGCCCCATAGGCAGTGATGGGCAAGGGCTGAGGCACTCACAGGGCAGCCCATGCCCCGGACGGTCCAGTGGGGGAGACATCAAGAAAACCCACCACCAAAACACAATGAGCTGTGATCGCGCCACTGCACTCCAGCCTGGGCGACAAAGCAAGATGCTGTCTCAAAAAACAAAAACAAAACTAAAGAAAAACACAGCCAGGTGTAGTGATTTACACCTTCTTGAGCCCAGGAGTTTAAGACCGGCCTGGACAACATAGTGAGACTCTGTCTCTACAAAAAAAATTTTAATTAGCTGAATGTGGTGGTGCACACCTGTAGTCCCAGCTACTCAGGAGACAGGGAGGAAGATAACTCGGCCCAGGAGATTGAGGCTGCAGTGAGCCATGTTGATGGTGGCTCATGCCTATAATCCCAGCACTTTGGGAGACTGAGGCAGGCAGATCACCTGAGCCTAGGAGTTCGAGGCCAGCCTGGGCAACATGGTGAAACCCAGTCTCCATTAAACAAACAAACAACAACAAAAAAAGTTTCATGGCCGGGTGCAGTGGCTCATGCCTGTAATCCCAGTATTTTGGGAGGCCAAGGTGAGCAAATCATGAGGTAAAGAGTTCAAAACCAGCCTGGCCAACATGGTGAAGCCCCATCTCTACTAAAAATACAAAAATTAGCTGGGCATGGTGGCACGCACCTATAATCCTAGCTACTCGGGAGGCTAAGGCAGGAGACTTACTTGAACCTGGACCCGGGAGGCAGAGGTTGCAGTTGGCTGAGATTGTGCCACCACACTCCAGCCTGGTGACAGAGTGAGACTCCATCTCAAAAAAAAAAAAAAAAAAAAGTTTCACTATGTGGGTGATTTTACTGGTAAGGAACCACCCTGATATTCCCAGGACAATGCTTGTTGGCAAAAGGACCTTCAGAAATATGTGGCATGTTCTGGGAGGAGGTTTTGGGAAACCCTGGGGGAGGCAGAGCCTCCTGAGTGAGGGTGGGGGCCCGAAACACAGGGACTCTGCAGGGAGGAGAAAAGGGAGAGTGTGCATGCTTGTGCCAGCAGACCACACGAGGACAGAGAGGGGTGCTCAAACCCTCTCCCTTCTCTTCTTTTTCCTCCTGCAGTGTACTCCCCTTCAAGGGCCCTGTTCCCACTTCGTCCAGGGGAGAGAGCAAGGGATGCAGGGAAAAACTGCAAGCACCTGTGGCCCTGTCAGTCAGGTGCTTTTTGAATCGGGGTTGATTTTGAAACCCCTACCCAGCCCGCTGACCCTGCCCCAGAGAGCACAGTCACGTTTCCTGTGAATCATCTGTAGGATTTCCTAAGGCAGAGGTTTCCTGGAGAGGCATGGTCTCCTCGGTCATTCAGGGAGGGGAGAAGGATGGATGGGGGTTCTCTCAGGCTGGTGTATTGAGCCCTGAGCTGGAGGGAATCTGTGATGGTTAATTTTATGTGTCAACTTGACTGGGCCAGGAATGCCGAGATATCTGGTTAAATATTATTTCTAGTTGTGCCTTTGAGGGTGTTTCCCATCCAATCCTTTGAGGGTGGGAATAAAACAAAAACATAAAGTTGGTGCCGTGGCTCATGCCTGTAATCCCACCACTTTGGGAAGCTGAGGTGGGAGACTCCCTTGAGCCCAGGAGTTTGAGACCAGCCTGGGCAACATAGGGAGACCCCATCTCTACAAAAAATTTAAAAATAGCCAGGCACAGTAGTGCATATCTGTGGTCCCAGTGACTCCAGACGCTGAGGTGGGGAGGATCGCTTGATCCCAGGAGGTTAAAGCTGTAGTGAGCCATGATCACACTACTACATTCCAGTCTATGCACACAAGACCTGTCTAAAAAAAGAAAAAAGAAAAGAAAGAAAGAAAACTGGAAACAATCCAAATATCCATCAACAGCAAAACGGATAATAACAGTATATTGATATAATTGGGCCAGGCACAGTGGCTCACACCTGTAATCCCGGCACATTGGGGGTGCATCACTTGAGCTCAGGAGTTCAAGACCAGCCTGAGCAATGTGACAAAACCCTGTCTCTTCAAAAATTACAAAAATTAGCCAGGCATGGTGGCGCAAGCCTGTAGTCCCAGCTTCTGGAGAGGCTGAGGTGAGAGGATCGCTTGAATCCAGGAGGCAGAGGTTGCAGTGAACCAAGACTGCGCCACTGCACTCCAGCCTGGGTGACAGAGTGAGACCCTGTCCCAAAAAAACAAACAAAAAAACAGTATGTTTATATAATTGACAACTATACAGCAATGAAAAGAGAATGAACTGCTGCTACACACTGCAACATGAATGAATTGCACAGACATAAGGTTGAGTGAAAGAAGCACGCTGGAGAAGAGAGGATGGTATGATTCCAGCCCTGTAACATTCAGACCCAAGGAAAATTTTAATAAATGGTAATAAAACACACAGTGGTTAACTCTGGGAGGGTGGGGAATTATTGACTGAGGGGGGAAATGAGGAAAACGTGTGAGGTGTTGGAAAGGTTTTGTATCTTGATCTGAGTGGTGGTCACACAGGTATATACATGTGTAAAATTTCATTGAACTGCACATTTAAGACTTGTGCATTTTGCCAGGTGCAGTGGCTCACACCTGTAATCCCAGCACTTTGGGAGGCCAAAGTGGGCAGATCACCTGAGGTCAGGAGTTCGAGACCAGCCTGGCCAACATGGTGAAACCTCGTCTCCACTAAAAATAGAAAAATTCGCCAGATGTGGTGGTATGTGCCTGTAGTCCCAGCCTCTCAGGAGGCTGAGGCAGGAGAATCACTTGAACCCAGGAGGAGGAGGTTGCAGTCAGCCAAGATTGTGCCTCTGCACTCCAGCCTGGGTGACAGAGTGAGACTCTATCTCAAAAAA